TACTGAATATTGAATTACATATTTTTGTTAGTGGTAATTTATTGTGAATATATTTTATCTTGTGTAAAGTCAGTGGCTCAAGTCCAGCTTAGACCAGTGCATGCTATTGTTGTGCTCTTTAGCAATACACATCTCCCTCAATACCTGTGTATGAATATGGTGTGTGAGTGACTGGTGGTAGGAGGTAGCCTGATTCATCAGCCGGTTTCACTTCGTAGAAACCGTCTGACCTTGCAGTGTTAGAATTTGTTCACTTGACAGTAGGCAGGTACTTTTTATCATTTAATCAATCGCTGCTATTTGGTCGTGACGTTTGTAATGCGTCGCTAACGGGACTAACTGGTATATTAAACTTTTCCCAAATTCCGTAAGAAGAAGGACAATAACGTTTTTCCCCTTGATAAAATTCACCAAACATTCTCTTTGTTCCAACTTTAAATCCTCGATCTCGGGAATCGTTGACAACACAGAATGTCTGTCTCTTCGCTGATTGGCTGATGCCCGAACTCGCACTTCCGGGGTTTTTGTGTATTCTAGTGTATTCTGATTCCTGACATAGTCACTGGAGAGAAATGAAATTGAGCGGAGGCACTAGGTGGCACCAGCCTGACTAGGTCGGAGGGACCAATGGCACAGATTGGCAGCCTGTCTTCCAGGGCAGCTGTGGCTGTGTGCTGAGTGTGGACAGAAATGGAATGGAAACATGACTTTGAGTGTCTGTAAAAAGAGCTACATTATTAGTATTGTAATTACTACATTTACATCAGTGATTACTTTTATATAACGTTTATTTAAACACATAAATAATGTAGTAGGAAACCATTTGAATCCCTGTAGCATCTTCTTCTGTTTGTAGACTCATGTTCTGCTTCTGTTTACATGATGTATGAGTGAATAGTGCAGTTGTATGAGATCATCAGTCGTTATGTCAGTTGTATGATTGGTTGTAAAGTTGATTAATGGCACAGAAATACTTCAACAGTATTTAGTCAAACTGGATTAAAAACAATCTTATGGTTTCAATAAATGCCAATGATGCATTCATCAATGTCTTTTATAGACATTAAAGAGGGATTATTACTCTTTTCAGGAGGATTAACTGCTGACTCATGACATATTTAAATCACCGTGTTACTTTTATTGTTCTTAAAAATACGAGTCACCCAAAACACTGTTAACATGTTTTATAAGTTTCACTGTTGTTTTTGACACTTGAGTGGCCCCTCCCTTTGCTCCCCATGTTAAGTCACTCCCCCATCAGAGCATCTCGCTAATGAAACTACTGCACATTGTGTCAGGTCTGGCAAGTTGGTGCCACCAATTTTGTATCATGTTTTCGTATATTTAGGGAGAATTCTCTTTTCTTGTTGACATCTAAATCCTCTTCAGACAGGTTTTTTGATGAGGGAACAACATTATAACAAAACAAACATATCGATTTTGCATAATACATCCTCTTTAATAATCTTTATAAGAGAAATTTATACCAGCTTACTGTACTTTGAGAAACATTAACAAAACAATCTAAGTGGATGTGATGGTGAGTGTCGGCTGTGCTCTGGTGGTCTCTTTGTGCTCCAGGCTGCAGTGCGCTCTTCCACCACAGGAGGGTGCTGTGTGGTCACAAATGCCCTGCTCCCTCACTGGCCGACCCTGCTCAGAGGACCTCATCACATATTCCACATAACCCCCCACGTCTCTGTTTCTTTTCAACTTTTCATTCTTTGAGTTAGAAAAAAAATCATTAATATTTGAGACTTTATGAACAGTGAGCGCCGCGTGCTTGAAGCAGGGCAAAAAAGAGCAGGCTCACACTTAATCCCACATAGACTGGAGCAACTTTGAACAGAGTTAATTTACATAGATCCTGGATACATTTACACATAATTTATATTTGCTGGGCTAAAGTGTCAGGGAAAATATTGTCAGAGTTGCAGACGTTGTTTAATAATATAGATAGATATAGATTATAGATACACTAGAATAGTATAGACTGTGTTTTTGTAATATTAAAGGTGCATTGTGTAACTTTTCTGGCGTATATACACACACATCAGGACCTACCTCTCTTATTAGGGCAAAAGTCAACTCCCCAAGACATAAATTCTTTATTGTTTGATCAACAACATGGTTTAATTAAAGGTTCTGTTACACAAAATGCATTCCTGTGAGCTTTAGGACATGTTTGAATGTTGTTACCTGCTCAAAAACACACCTGGAGTTGTGTTTTGTTTCATTCACACATGTTTGAGTAACTTTTATTAAGTTAGTTTACATCTCCAAAGCTCAAAATGCTCTGTTTTACCTTGTGATGTCATAAATAGTGGCTCCTTTTACCTTTAGTTCAGTAGAGATTCCAAGGCTGAAATGATCTTGATGATTCTAGTGAAGGTGTGTGGAGTTTAAAAACACAGTGGAGCACTTCCTGTATTACCACATGACATCACAATTTGGAAATTTGATGAGTTTTCAGTATGAGAGACGGTTTGTGGGTTAAACATGTGAATGAAACAAAACATAACTCCAGGTCTCCAGGTTTGTGAGCGTAAAGAGCATAATTTTGCTTGCTTTTTTTTTTTTTTTTTTTTAATATCTAAATACAAATCCACATGTAATCTTACTGTGAGTGGTGTCACCTCTCCACAGCTCTGATCTGTAGCTTGTCTCCATAGGCATAGATCTGTTTAATATCAGACTGTGGAGCATAAACAATGACAACTTGACAGAGTTTAAGTAAATCTAATCTGTTAAAGTTCTGCTGAAATCTATACCCAAACGTCAAATGTTGTTACTGTTATGTCATGAAATTATAACTATTACACTTTGAGAATGTAAAGTTTTGACACGGCTCTTTAAGACATCGCAGAGTGAAATTTAAAGGTCCTATATTATGCAAAATTGATTCTTGTGAGCTTTAATCTATTATATCTTTAATGCTCCGTTTAACCTTGTGATGTCATGAAGTTGTAGTTTTCAAGTGAACAGCTCCTTTTACCTTTTGTTCAGGAGGAATTGACACCGACTGAAATTATCCAAATGATTCTGTTGAGTTTAAAAACACAGTGGAGCACTTCCTGTATTGCCACATTACCACATAAACTGCACGAGAACAGAGATCAGAAAATAGCGTCATATGAACTCTTTTTGTCATTTTAAGCTGTTGTAATATTGAAGAGCTTCAGTAGGGGAGATGGTAGTGACGCGTCCATGCATCTACACTTGGAAATTTAGAAAGAAATATTGCAATTCTGAACTGTAACCGCATCATTCATTCATAATTTTAATGTTTCAGCTGCAGGAAAGCTTGAGTTTTATTTGCTTTGTGCCTTTGTGTGTGGCTCAGTTTGGTGTCTGTGTGTGCATATGTGTGTGTGCGTGTGTGTGTGTGATGGGGCAAAAGGGGCAGATTGGCAGCCACACTTCCATCAGCCTGCCCCAGGACAACAGCTAAACCAATGTGTATGTGAAACCTGAGTGTTTAACGGTGTCTTCTTTCTTATTTAGTTTGAAATTGAGGATGTTTTCGTCCTGATGTAAACCTGGTCTAGTCTTGGTGCAGTTCTGGTTTAGTTCAAGTTCAGTCTTGAGTTCGATGCTGTGATTGGGCGAGCGAACGCAGCCTAGTGTGAATAATGTATCTGTTCAAGAACGTGTATGTTGATGTTATTCTGTTGTTATTCTGTTGTTTCCTCATCAAAAACACACCTGGAGTTGTTTTTTGTTTTTTTTCTTTCATACACAAACCGCAAACACACTGTTCCACCTTGTGATGTCATGTGGTAATACAGGAAGTGCTCCATTGTGTTTCTAATCTCTATACACCTGCACTAGAATCATTTGGAATTGACAATCTCGACTGAACTAAACGTTAAAAAAAAATAATAAAAAAGGAGCTGTTAACTTGAAAAGCAGTACATTACCAGTACATGACATCACAAGGTGGAACCGACTATTTTGAGCTTTGAAGATGTAGACAGACTAATAATAAAGAATTATTCAAACGTGTGAAACAGAACACAACTCCAGCTCTGTTTTTAAAAAGGTAACAACATTCTAACATGGCTAAAAGCTCACGTGAGTCAGTTATGCGTAATATACGTAGTACCTTTAAGTCCTCACAGTCCTGTTCAGTCATGGTCTAGTCCAGGTTTAGTCCCAGTTTAGTCCCAGTTGTGCGTTATGCGTTAAAACTAGTGTCTCCAATACATGACATGCCTATAGACGTAATCCCAGAGTCACATGCGCACCTTTTACGCACACACACAGCCTATTCTTTCAGTGCGCGCGTGCATGTGAGAGCGTGCGCGTGCCCCAGCCAGTCATCCAGGCGGGAAGAGGTTAACGCCAGTGCGCGTACGAGTGTGTGTGAGAGAGAGAGCCGTGTGGGAAGGAGCCGGCTCCGCGGAGAGAACCAGCAGCGAAAGGGGCAGCGCTCTACGATCCTTTTTTTCCCCCCTCAATGAAACCAACTCACCCGGGCTCCACGCTCCTCCGTACGCCTCCCGAGAACCCAGACCCCAGCGGACTCAAGTGATGGCAAAGTGACCGGGGGAAGCGTGTGTCCGTGCCCGTTGGATGCGGAGAGGACGGTGGGCATTGCGCGTAAAAGTTTTGATTTTCAAGCGCTCCGAGTGGATGTAACCGTGCGGATTGTACTTCACCTTTCGGACTATATTCACGTTTTGTTTTCACGCACTTTCCTGCCTCCGTCACCGCTGTGGATTTATTATTTTACTACTTTTTTCCTGCGCTGTACAAAGGAAGTAAATGTATCCGAAGGGGGGACTGCAACTGCTTTTACAACTGGATCTAATTCACAAAAAGCGATAGCCTTCTTCTCGTACGGCTCGCTTTCCACAACACGGTTTTAGCACATGCTTTGGCTAACCCTTGCGCCACTTGGACAACATTCACACTTTACGATGTTTCATTTGGAGCCTTGAACTGCGCAAAGAGGTCGCTTTAATAAAGGGGCATTTTTGGGGACCAACTAAGCGACTTTACATGTGGAGAATTTGCGCTATCCTTTGACATGAGGGAGTGGAGTTCTAGGCTGGAATAACTTGGATTATAAAGCTTTTTTTTTTTTTTTTTTTAATCGTAAGAGACGTTGAATGATGTCTCCTACTTCTATTGGGATAGTAGTTTTTGCAGCAGTGATTCTTCAAACATGCTCAGGTAAGAGAGCTCAAAAATAGTTCCGCTTTTGGGTCGTGTGCGTAAAAGAGACGTTGTGTAAAATGGTTTCTGGCTTTATTGCGGGTTTGAAAAGTTTTCCCAAAGACCACCTTGTAATAAGCGCTTGCTAAATGATAGACTGGCGTAGTGAGAGGCGGTGTTGCCAGCTGTAGCCCGGAGAGCAGAGCTGGTTGGCTTGGCAGACGGTGCACAGGACTACACACTAACGCTGTGAAGCTTTTTACATTCACAGTGGATTTGAAAACTTGCCAGTGAACTTTGTATGTGACCAGTATAGGCCAGTCCAAGTGTGGAATATACAGGGGTGGGTAGTAGCCTATTTAGTTACATGTCCTTGAGTACATTTTTTCAATAAGTTGTACTTTTCTAGCTGGAACAGTACTCTTACTTGAGTAAAAGTTGTGCTTCCTCTTCCCAATGTGAGTGAGTCTAGAGTGACAAAAACTTGATGTGACAATATGAAATGATCAGAACTTTTTTGTTTCTGGCAGCTGTTTCAGACATGATCACTGTCCTTTGGAAATAACAGATCTGTACATAATTTCATGTTTTGTCCTTCAAATTACATTCAATTCAAATTATAAATCAGATGTTACTTCCTGACAGTGACTCTTTAACTTACACTTACATGGAGTAGTTTTCCCAAGTACTTTTTTACTCATTTACTTGAGTAATTGACTGCTACTTTATACTTGTACTTGAGTAACATTATTTTACATCTTTAGGCTGCTCTACCCTCCTCTGTAGTTTGAACACCTGCCCCTGGACTTATATATGAGCACTTTTACCTGGTGTCTGTGTCTGTGTGGACTTAAAGACTGAAGCTGTTCTTTCTCATGGTGCTGCTTGTTGGTTACAGAAAGTCTCATTTATAATACAAAGTAGAGCATAAGGAAGAAACAAGTTAAAGCTCTAATATGTCACTTTTTTGTCAAATACATAGACTTAAAAAAGAGCTTTTTTTTTCATTATGGATGTTCTGTCACACTGAAAAACAGAAAAAAAAATGCATTTTGACTGTCAGTGGGCTTGCATCTCCACAAACCTGACTCTTATTTGGCCTGGAGGAGAACTTGTCTCCCTACAAATGTTGTTCCTTTAGCTATACTCTTCCACACTATGGCATACAACTTATGTATCTTCATGGAGAATGTTCTGAAGAATGGTTTTAACTTTCTATTTCCATGGAATAGAAGTTGACTTTCCACCTCCAGAAAGTTACACACTATCACTTTAAGTTTGGAGTCTCAGTCTGAGGAATATGGCAGCATAGAACTGAGTGGTACTTCCCAAGTCTGTAACAGTCTGTGCACTTGTCCGTGTACTTTTGCAGAGATTTCTATAGTTATTCAAACATTTTACGATAGTTACTACTACTACTACTACTTCTACTACTACCACTACTTCTTCTTCTACTGCTGCTGCTACTTCACATGACTTCATCTCTAAATTCACTTCCTCACTTTAAGTTAATACATCTGTTAGTAACTAGCAGTTACGCAACTGCTGTAGTTTTGTCAGCAAAGATGTGCACATGTGCGGCTTTATTTGTGTCGGCTGAAAGTTCATTTTGAAGAGGTAAGAGAAGAGCGCAGACCTGCAGACTGCTTCAAACTGTCGGAAAATGCCTTCCTTCTGAGTTAATTGTCTCTGCATTTTAGATGGAGTTGATGACATAGGCAGAGGGATTGGGAACTCTCTGCTTCTCTGTATTTTCCAATATTTTCTATTTTAGTTTTCTTCACAAACCACCACTAAACTCTGATCAGTCACAGTCATGTGCACTTAAAAGAGCCCATGTATTTATTCAGATTATCATGATGTTTCCTCATCACAAACAGACCTGGAGTTGCCTGGAGTTGTGTTTTGTTTCATTCACACATGTTTAACACACAAACCCTGTATATTTAGACTGGGTTCTTGTCTCAAACACAAAACAATCTGGTTCACCTTATGATGTCATGTGGTAATACAGGAAGTGGGTCACTAGAATCAGATTTATCATTTCATCCTTGGAATTTCCAGTCTCTACTGAACGAGGCGAAAAGTAACATGAAAACTACCACTTCATGACATCACCTGGTGAAACAGAGCATTTTGAGCTTTGGAGATGTAAACAGACTAATAATAAAGTGTTACTCAAACATGTAAATGAAACAAAACACAACTCTAGGTTTGTTTTTCAGGAGGTAACAACATTTTAACATGACTTAAATCTCACAAGAGTTAAGTTTGTTAAATATGGACCTATAGGGGTTCTAGAATGTTCTGATGTCACCTGAACACAGCCTATTTGATACTCTTCCTGTATTTCACTGACTCTTCACATGTGACTCTGCTCCACTGACAGACCAGGGCCCGTCCCAGCCCCGCAGTCAAACCAGAGACCCTCTCGTAAAGTGTTGAAGTTTTCACAGCTGAGCTCACAGACCAGTGCACAAACTGCTGAGGTGCGTTTGGGAGCAGCTCAGAGCGCTTGTATCATCGCTCATATGGACAGCCAGCCCCTCCGGACCCCCCCTCCCGGACCCCCGTCCCCGCTCCCATGCATGATCCTGGGTTCTCTGTACTGCTTAGCCCTGCACTTCGGACACACATGCTCTAGATGTGACTAATGTGGTGGTTGTCAAAGAGCGGTGCGTGGGTTTATTCTATTGTTTTATTTTTTTTACACTCAGCCTACTCAGGTTTAGTCTTGGTTTAGCCCTAATTTGTGTTTGTTGCTTGTAAAGACCCACACTGCCTCTTAAAACTCCCATAATACGCAGAATCGACTCTTGTGAGATTTAAGCCATGGTAGAATGTAGTTTCCTCCTCTAAAACATTCTTGGAGTTGTGTTTTGTTTCATTCACATGTTTGAGTAACTCTTTATTATTAAATCTGTCTAATCTGTTGAACCTTGTGATGTCATGAAGCTGTAGTTTTCAAGTGAACTGCTCCTTTTACCTTTAGCTCAGTAGAAATTGGCAGTTCCAGATTTGAAATGATCCAAATGAGTCCACTTATTTAGTTATTTAATACAGATGGGGGCGGCTAACATGAATATTGTTCAACTGCAGAGTTTTGTGGCAGTACAGCATGATCTTGGGTTTGGTCAATAACAGAAGTGATCTGATTTGGGAATTTACCTTTCCGATATTTCTCAGTAAAGTACAATATAATTAATAGGAAAAACTGGCTCTTGCCCCCATCTGAGAGTCTGACATCACCACATTCTACGATCTGAAAACTACCCCTGCGTTTGATTATCCTCCCGAATCGGTTTTCCAAGTAAGTTGCCTAGTGGCACTCGTGACACGCCCCTTTTCTTGGGACGGAACACGACTCAGAACTTGGTGGCTGAAAAAGTGGACCGAGCAAGGATTCCGAGTCAGAATCCAAGATGGCTCTGCCCACTGTCACATGTAAATATGAACTGCAATACTTTACTGCACTACTAATACTGCAAATACCTTACCGCGCCCGTATCACTGCCTATGGGTATGAGAGTCGATGTTGTGGTGAGGTCAATATTGAACAAACACTTGAGGCGTTAACATCCCTAAGGTTGCTAAAGGGACACGCGAAACATAATAATACGCTTCAAGCTCGAACGTGACGTCAAATCCCAGGTCCAAGTGGGAGTCGGAAGGTAAATGAACGCACCAATTACCACGCAGAACTCAGCCTAAATGTGCAGGTTTGTGTGTTGAACATGTGTGAATGAAACGGAACACAACTCCAGGTCTGTTTGTGATAAAGAAGAAGAAACTACATTAGAACAGAGATCTGAAAATAGTACGGGCCCTTTACACTCTCTTTATGTACTTCAATCTTGGAGGAAGTTGCCATCACAATAGAAAAAAAAGAAAAGGGGGAGGATTATAACGTGTGAGTGTGTGCTGCCTCCAGTGGCCTCTGTAATTTCAAGTACTACATGACACTCCACAGAACTGGCCTCATAACATCCAGGTGTTTCTGATACAAACACTGTGGTTACCTGTTAGACCGATCATACTGTTCTTTATGCCCCCCTCACCTTTAGTCTTCCAGACCCAGCCCCTCCTCACTCTTCCCTTTAGTCCTCCAGACCCCACCACCCCTCTCTCTCCTTTAGTCCTGCAGACCCTGACCCCCCCCCCCCCCCACACACACACACACACACACACACACACTCTCCTCTTTCGTCCTCCAGATCCCGCCCCTCCTCCTCTTTCTTCCTCACTCTCCCCGTTAGTTCTCCAGATCCCACCCCTCCTCTTCACTCTTCCCTTTAGTCCTCCAGACTCCATCCCTCCTCACTCTCCTCTTTGGTCCTGCAGACCTCTCCCCTTCTTCTCCCCTCACACTCCCTTTTAGTCCTCCAGATCCCGCCCCTCCTCCTCCTCTTCCTTCCTCGCTCTCCCCTTTAGTCCTTCAGACCCCTTCTCCCCCATTACTCTCCCCTTTAGTCCTCCAGACCCTGCCCCTCACTCTCCCCTTTAGTCCTCCAGACCCACCTCCCCCTCATTCCCCCCTTTAGTTTTCCAGAACCCGCCCATCTCCACTCTTCCCTTCAGTCGTCCAGACCCCACCCCTGCTCCCCCCTCACTCTCCCCTTTAGTCCTCCAGGCCGCGCCCCTCCACCCCTTTAGTCCAGTCGAGCAGTTCTATCTGAGATGTGGTTAACGCAGGGCAAACGCTTCTGGACCGTGTCAAACTGCTCCAAATGAACACGGCTTATTTTGACACATGTCCAGTGGTTTTGTGAAGCCGGTGCTTTACCCCCCCTCATTCCACATAAGCCGTACACACTATCTGCATTACAGCGCCCCCGTTGCTCCTCATCCCATCCCCTTCCTCCTCTTCTTAATACTGACCAATGAGACTAGAGAGAGCCTCGTCTTCATAAGCGGGAGTGACCTGGAAAAGCCCGTGTCTCTCCCTCATGGAGCGAGTGTCCAATAAACCAGGGCAAAGACGAATGCGCTTCATAACACAGGCCAACAGGGGGCCACGC